TTAATATAGCCTGCTGATACTGAAGTAATAGTGTGTTCTTTGTTGGAACAGTTCTTGCAGAAGTCTCCTCTTGTGCCCCACTGGAATGCTGGATCTTGGGTCTTAATCTCATGGAAATGAAGCACTCAATAATTACAGTAATACTGTTTTACTAGTTCAGTATCTAAGCAACTAGAAATTGAGTCCCTTGGTCAGAGCAGCATTTTCCAGTGCTATTTTTTTTTTTTTTTCTGGCAAAGTGTAAGGAAGCCTAGAGCCTGAAAGATTCAGAGCAGCAAGTAACAGTGGTTATATTTGAAGTTTTGGAGTGGAAGCCATTTTCCATGATCAACACTAGCAGTAGTTGGACAGTTAGGTCATAAATAGCCATGGCTTTACAGAAAGCTTGTTTTCTTTTGTAGCCTTCTTTTTCCCCACCAGAGATGATGAAATTAAATGGAAGCTGTGGGAATGGTAATAAAATTATTGTCTCTCCTAAGGCAGACATCCCCTCCATTAAAAAGGACAGCTGTGAAGTCAGGTAACCTATCATTCTGGAAGGAATCCAAATAAAAACACACCACTCAGAACCTTTCCAAAGCATATAAAGGCACACGTTTAAACGACAGCCTTAACATAAACACAGGTGCACACCCACCCACCCACCCCTCTATATAGAAGCTATGTTGCTGCAAAGACTTAATTCTGAGTCCCAAGAAAAGTTATGAGGCTATGAGAGTTTTCTGTGGGACACACCTTTTCTTCTGACTGGAAAGTCAACTGAACTTTCTGCTCTGCCCAACCAATGGGCTGCTTCTCTCCAAATAGCAGCCCAGCTCCTGACAAGAGGATGCAGTGAAGACCAGAGTATCACATTGGCTTTCTTTTCACAGATGTTCCAAGATACGTCACTACACCCGATGGAATTCATTAGCTATGGTACAAAAGGGTCCATATCACTGCTCCTTCCTTTATTCCAAACCTTGTCACATTTTCTCCTGTAAAATGAAACGCCTCTATTTTTTTCCATTGCATGGTACCTAAGAAAACAAAACTGAGCTTGAATATACATGCTTGAAGTCTTCTTGTGCCTTTGCCACAATGAGAAGCTCTGAACCTTTGATGCAAGCTTTCTTTCCAACTACATCAAAATGTATAGATAACCCAAACAACCTGAACGAGTACCACTCAAAGAGCGAGCTATAAAAAGTGTTATTGCAGTATACTATCATTATGGAACATTTGTCAGAAGAGCTACAAAAAGCAGCATTGACATGTACAGAGTTCAGTGCAATTTTTAAAAACCTTTTCTCTTCTGAAAAAAATCATAAGTTAATAAGGAACCATGAAATATTACAGAGGACAGAGTACAAGTCATGTTCTGGATGTTCCCAGGATTCCAGTACAACATATTGCTTCAAAGACTGATAAAGGAATTACTTTCTGTTCCCTTGTGACAGTGGCACAGGGAGAATGGCAGGGCCAAGCTTGCGTGAGAAGAAAACTTGCTGTTTGTGATGATCAGCAGGTGGTTGAGAATGGTTCTTGGTTGGGTGGGGGAGGAACAGAGGAATGGGCCAGATGTTGACCATTTCTTGGCTCTTTTGCCTGAAGTTTTAAGCTTTAAAGTGGACTCAAATAAATAGCAAATAAGGAAGGCAAATAATTTAGATATTACTCACTCAGGGTTTCAGAGTGGAGAGAAAACAATTTAAAAACACAAGCATCAGCAATTAAGAGAGGCATAACCGCTGAAGAACTTCACATTCATATAGATGTGAGTAAGTCACCTCCCTGGGTGCACAGGACCCTGAAAATACTGACAAGCAGATCTCCAGCAACATTTTTCCCCTTTCCACAGATATGTTACATTCAGTTCCCCTTTCCATGCCCAGTTCTCCCATTTCACTATTCACAGGCGGTGTCAGTCATGGCCTTCACAGTCTGTACAAAACACCAATGCACACAGAGACATATGCCCCTGTCCTCTCCCCAAAAGAGGCCGCATCTTTCTCACTTCTTCATGTGCCATGACTGGGAGGGTGCTGCAAATCCTGCCCTGAGAAAATGGGGTGCAGAAGGGGATGGAGGTGTAATGCTGTGGCAGCAGCTGTTGCTGGTCGGGGTGCTAAGAGAGTTGGATAGAGGGCAGCATGGGGGACAGGATGAAAAGTGAAAGGACCTGGGTGGATGGCAGAAGCAGGGATGATATGGATGGGGTGGCTGGCCAGGAATGTAGCAGGGTGCCCAGGGATGATTGAGTGAGTTAAGTGGGACAATGAGATGGGGGTCAAGTGGGGCTGGGGAATATGATGCACTTGAGCAAGAGGCTGGGGGTGAGGGTGAGGGTGGATTCCAATGGCTGCAGCTGCTGCTGCTGCATGATGCTGCAGGATGGCATGCTGCACAGTGGTAATGGAGGTGGCTGCAGCTGCTGCAGGCTGCTGGATGTGGATGGGCTGCAAGGCAGGGGCTGTGGCGGGAGCTAGGGCAGCTGAGGCTGGAAAGGCCTTGACCTGCTTGGCAAGGAGCTGTTGCTGAATATGCTGCTGGGCTGCTTGCTGGAGCTTGCTATATTTCTCCATCTCTTCTGGGGTGAAGGTGATGGGCTGGCTCTCCAGAGGCGCCAGGGAAGAGTCCTCAGTGCCCTCAGGCTCCCCACTGATGCTGGGCTCCCCACTCTGTGCTACATAGCTAGGGAAATGCTCAACATCTGGGACTAAAGGTACCATCCTTCCTTCTATAGAGACAGGTTGGTTCCCGCTGTCAAGAGGCTCTAAAGCTTCACTTTCATTGGGATCAGGGAGGAAGTTGTGCGGCACCACCAAGTCACCAGATCCATACCGCTCTGGGAGCAGTGGGGGCTCAAGAGGAACAGGAGCCAGCTTTGTGGCTACTTCTTCTGGGTTCTGATCACCTGAAGCATTGTCCTGTATTCCAGTCACCATGGTTTCCTCCACTTGAGCCTGGCTTGCTGAAACAGTGTCCCCACTCTCGTGAGTTGCTTCATCCAGCTCTGATAGTTCCAGTTCTTCTCCTCTTTCTAAACCAGACTCCTCACACTGCTTGGTGCTTGGTTTTCTAACTGCAGGAAGTTTTCCAATTAATGGAAGAACAGGCTTATTGCCTAATGAGGGAGGAAGCTTCGGGCCAAAATAGCCCTGTGGTGGATCTTTCAGCTTAATTCCAACCTTGTGAGATCCTGCAATGGAATCATCATTGCTGCTAGATTTCTTCTCAACTTTTCTACACTGGATTTTTTCCAGAAGGAGTTTAGCTGTGGCAGAATTTTTCTCCTCAGAGTTACAGTTATTCCCAAAGTTAGAGCTGCTGCTATTTTGAGGGAGACTGGAGGCTCCTGTAGCTTCATCTCCTCTTGCTTCTTCCTTTCTTGCAGACCCTTCACCTTGTCTGGCTTTGAAATAATGAGGAGACTGTGAGCGATAGATCTTGGACCGGATGAAATCACGTCGGCCAGATCTTCTCTCACCAGGGCTTTCATGACCACGCGATCCCTTCCGTGAGAGAGATCTCTGTGAAAGGCTTCTGGTGCTCCGACTGCGTTCCCGGCTGTAGCTTCTACTCCGTTTCCAGCTATGTCCTGTTCGGCTCCGGCTCCGCCGCTTACTTCGACTGTGGCTACAGCTACTGCTGCGCGTCCTTCCTCGACTTCTAGTCCTTGACCTCCCTCTGGTGTGAGTTCGACTTCTGCTCCTGCTCCGGGACCTGCTTCTGCTCAGACTATAGTCATCTTCTGAAGAGGAGTACTTGCGCCTCTTTGACCTGCGCTTGGAACTGGCATAATCTGATTCATCCTCTGAGTCATGGGAGTGCTTAGTACGACTTCGTGACCGGTCACTGTAATCACTATAGCTGTCTTCTGAATAGCTATGTCGCCGGCTGTACCGACTATTGTCAGAGGAAGCATATGAAGTTGATGAATAGGATCTCTGAGATGATCTTCTTGAGGAGTGTCTATGTCCTGACCGGGAGCGGCTTCGTGAACAGTCACTGCCAGAGTCATAATCATCACTATACTGTGATGCTGACTTCTGTCTGAAGTGCTTGTGGCAGGAGGAGTCTCCATCACTCTCATAGCCACCGCTGCTCTGTTGGCCTCGATGACTGGGGTGAACTGAAGTGGAGGTGGAAGGTCGCCTTTTGCTTGCAGACAAAGTCTGCTGCAAGTCCCCTTTGATTTTTTTGTTGCCATGATCTTGGGAAGAGGTTCCACTGTCTTCTTTCTTACTACTTTCTTCAGTAGAAAGAGACTTCCTCTGAGAGTCTTGCACACACCACTTTCTTTTTTTAGAATAGCCAGTATCCTCAGTCCTTTGCATCCGCTCAGCCTCAGTGGGAAAAGAAAACTTGTTCTTTTTGTGTTTGTGTTTCTTCTGTTTCTTGGATTTATCTTCTGCTAAGTCCCCTTCTCTGCTTTTCTCCTCTGCCTCACATTTGCGCCTGTGTTTACGTTTGGTGGATTTTTTGTGCTTCTTCTTCTTTTTGTGTTTGTGGGACTTCCCCATTTTGTCCTTGCGACTAATAAGATTGCCTCTGCTGCTGTCTTCCAGACTTTCACTTTTGCCAGTTCTTACAGGGCTGACTTCCTGCTTGCCACACACTACCAACGACTTGCTTTCTGGCACTGCAGTTGAACTGCCAGCTAGAAGGTCCATCTCTTTGCTCTTGCTTGTATCACTATCTTCGGCAGACTGTATTTTCTCCTTAGAAAGGTTTATTGCACCTTTCTGTTTTTCTGTTCCTTTCATTTTAGTGTCTTTGTTACGAGACAGCTTAAAATCAAAATACAAGGGATTGCAGCTGTATGACACAGAAGGTTCTGCTCTGGTGAAGATCAACAGTTCTGAAGGCCACTGGAGGGTGGTGCTCTCATCCTTACTCAGAACAGGGAAGAAGGGCCCAGTTAAATGTTTAGGTCCATCTGTGGTTTCTTTACTAGTTCCTGCAGGCTGAGGAATCTCTTTAATGACATCTGAGTCTGCAGGATCATTTCCCTTAGGTAGTTTTCCTGCTTGCTTGCCTACTTCCTCCAAAATGTCCTTATCTTCCATTTTGTTGCTTTGGTTGGCAGGACTCTGCTCCTTCTGACTGATCACACATTCTGCTGCTGTCTCTTTCTCATCACTTTTTGCCACTTTGAGTTTGGGGGAATTGCTTTGTTTCCTTTCACGGGTTATTTTTTTGCTTGCAGCTTCTGCTTCTACTTGGTCCGTTGCCTTCATAAACAGCAAAAACTGGAAGTTGGGCTTCACCTTACAATGTGCAGGAGGAATGTAGTGATAATACTCTGGTTCTACTGCCACTGGCCCATCATCCCGTTTCATCTTTTTAAGCTTTGATAATGTGGTATCTTTCTCATGTGTTTGCTCATCTTCATCTCCCTTGCTGTCAGGGCTGTTTGTCCCCTCAATTTCCCCAATTTTTCCCAAAGTTCCAGAATCTGAATGAGCTCTTTCATCAGTTTTGACTTCATCATCAGGAGAACTGGATTCATCCACATGGTCTTTGAATACAGAGGCAATTGATTCTAGCTTTACAGGGGCCTTTTTGGCAAATGAGAAAGACACACCTGTTTTATTAATTCCCAGGCCGACAGCTTGTGATATCTGGACAGGAACCTGACCAAGTCCAGTACTGCTACTGATTTGCCCACTGCCATAAGTTATACCCTTATCCATGGTAATATTGGTAGCTTGCCCAGAACCTGGTGAGGAGGAGGAGCAACTTCCAGGAAATATTGAATCCACATCCTCCTCTCCTCCTTCCTCATCTACTGCCACAATGGTGGTTCTAAACATCGGCCCACTTCCTGGAGCACTGAAGACAGGGAAGAGGGAAAAGCAGACAAAGAAAGAATAGTTAGAATATATAGTTATTAACATTTCCACCTTACTGTTACACTCAAAACCTTACTCCATGCATATGCAATCTCCTGTTACCTTTTATGGAATTGCTCAACAAGCTGTGAATATACTCAGTAACCACTGCTTTGAAATCTCTTTCCCTATGGAATATGTTTAACAAGTAGCTCTTACAAGCACTACGGAACAGTTACTTTGTCCTAAAGCATACACTTATGAGAAGGTGAATTAACTCAGCATAAAGTTTTAAACTAGATGTATTCTAGCCTTCAAAATCAAGGATAAAACCTCAAGAAAATGACTGGGAATCAAAGTATACACAGTTCTGATGCATACATGGAACTTTGTAGGAATAAATGTCCTACTTGTTTCAGGTTTAGGTCCTTTTCCATATAAAATACCAGAATTGTTGGCTTTAACAGTCCCAATTCCTTCATGTACTCATATCACACCCTGTATTTTAAAAAAAAAATTATCCCAGATAGGTCAGAGAGAGGAAGTGGGCATTCCTGTTTTGAGGAGACAACAGATTAAAGTTTTGGTCTACAAAGATCTAAGCAGCAGCACTTCATTCTGTCTCCATTGTATAACTTTTAGTAACTGCATATTTAGTTACAAGTTAGTCTAACTTGCATGTTGAAACAAAACTGCCTTTTGTTTTATCAACAGACCAGCAATGTGCAAACTCTGTCAGCTCGAAGGCCACACCTGGCTTTGCAAGGAATATTGTGGACCACAGTAAAAAGCTGGAAGGGGCCAGGAGCCATGGCAGGCAACTTGAGGATTTTAACGAACAAAATGGGTACCTTAAGCCAAAAGCTCTATTAAAAAGAAAAAAAGCCTAACATTCTGGTCAAACTCTGGACAGACTCTAGGTTTAAATATTTTGCATCCTTGAGGTAGGTCATAATTCACCATTCAGGCTGCTTCCTCTGCTCAGCCAGCTCATGGAGACGTCGAAGAGCTTTCTCCTGTTTCCTCTCATCTTTCCGGGATCTTGAGGAAACGTTGCGAGCAAATTCTCTTTGCTTGAGATCTTTTAATCTCTGTGCAAAATAAGAGAAGAAAATAACGATATTAGGGAGGGGAAAATAGACAATTCTTTAAAATACATCAGATATAATTGTAAGTGGTTATGGTTTCAATGAATGAGAAAAACAGACTACAAAGTGATATTCATACACTTATGAAAAAAGACTGATATTAGTAGGAATCACCCTAACTCCCAAACACTCTAATGATTTGGCCTTCACAATCTCCTTTTCATTGTCATGAGATGATTTATATGCAAATGTATCAGATATCAGTGCAGGGAGGAAACAGCAAAAACGCATGCACAAGAAACATGCCTCTACACTTGTTTCTATGCAGCCTTTTGCAGTATGTTACTCTAGATATGTTTGCCCATAATTCGCAACATCCCCAGCAAATATGCTCATGTTGGCCAGGGAAGGATGGAAATGGAGTCCAACACATCAGGAGGGTAACCAACTGTCAGAGGCTGGATTCAGTATGGAATTTATAAAATTTTTAAAAAAGCAAGAACAAGTAATGGTGCTTGGAACAGTAATGCTGCTTTATTATGTAAGCAATAATTTTATATTCTAACTGTGTAAAGCTGGAAAAAAACATTTTATTTCTTGCAATATAATTAATAACAACATGTTTCCCAGGAATGTTGTAAGAGTTATCTTTCGGAAGGGTGATTTACAAGCACTTGAAAAGACAAGGCTAGATGGATATCTACACAATTCTAAAATTGTGAGAATTGTTTTCTTCCTAAATTACTGTTCCTAAATTATTTTGAAGATAAGCAGGAAACTAAATTTAATTTTTAATAGGAATTCTGAATGAAACCTAGGCTCTTTCAGCTCTAAGAGCCATATGACATACATGAACATTTTTATTTGAAGGACAGTATATAAATACATCAAATAAATGTATAAAATTTAATTAGAAAAATCTGCAGATCTCTCTTATCTTGATGCTTTAATGTGTAAATGTCACAAGTGGGCTATTTACTTAGCTCATTTTAACAGAGACATATATATTGATATAGGAAAGCCAAATTTCATGCAAAGGAACAAAACAACAATATGAAAACTGGCAAATTCTGCAACAGTAAGGCTCTTTGTGAGCCCCAAATGCACAGCAGAGATCTACTATTAAAGAAAATTATACCCCAGTTTTAATGATGGGCCATGAGAATGCCTTTTGCTTAGTACTTTTAGCAAGCTATGGGGAATGAAGAGCACTGTAAGTTGTGCTCATCTGTGAAGGTTTGGCATGATTATATGGTTGCACTTGTTATACTGGATGACATCAGATGGCTTTAGAGGAGCCTGTTTTGTGCTTCAAGCTGGCAGGCTTAGATTGTCTTAGTTACTGAAATCCTATTTGTGCACTGAAGAGACAGCTACTGTTAACAAGGCTGTGTATATTCTTAATTATAAACCCTGCGCTCTGCACCAAAATAACACAATTCTATTCCAAGAAAAGCCAGTTTCATCAGCCAGTATTCATTCTGTCCAAGTTCTGTTAATCAAAGAGAACAAGTACTGGTAAGTGTTGCCCTTGACTCTATGGACTGCTATGGGATGCTACTACTTATCCTTAATTTAAGGTCTCGATATATTGAATTTTACTCCCACCAATTTTCACACTTAACTCAGAGATAAGTGAATCTGGCTGAGGGCTCAAGTGTAGACATCCAGCTAACCTCAGTTAAACTTGTCATCATGGATTTATCTGTGCAGGTCAAGGAAAGTCGTCACTCTCCTTACTATCCTGCATGGAGCAAAGAGTTTCATACACACTGGCCTTTCCCCATTATGTAGAATATGTGCTGGATGATGTGACTATCAGGGAAAACACAGGTTGGCTTGTTAATCAAATCAGGACAAAATCCTGCAGATTTTATCCATGCTTTAGTCTTCAACTGCAAGAGTGAAGAGTTGGACTAAGCCAAACAGAGCTTATGCCACTATTGATTCTGTAGAAGCACCCATCTCAGTGCTTCTTCCAGCTTCAGTGTGAAAAGATATAATGTAGACTCTGTCTCATTGGCACTCCTCTGCTTTGTCCATGCCCTATCCTTCCGCTTCAAAGAAGAATGAGAACAGGTGAAACAATAATGCTGGAAATGAGGAAGGCTTTCTCAAAGTCAGATGAGCTGTCAAACTGGTAGGTCAACTTTAGTGGTTCCCTATCCCTAACAATCACAGAAAAATGCAGTTTTGGTCATGACCCATTTCAATGGCGTACAACTTTATCTGGACCAAGCTTGGCTTTTGAGTGGTGTACTGGAGGCTGCATTCCAAGAGTAATTGGTGAAGCCAAACAAACACTACATTCAATTTAACTTACATTTAAATGTAATTAAAATACAGTTAAAATGATTACTTTGTGGCTAGGTATTTAATAATTTCTCATTTCTATCACACTACACATTACAATTCGGTAACATGTCATGCAATGCACAACTGTCACAGCTGTCTCAGTGTATTATTTCACTTCAAAGTAGCTTAGAAATGGTAAAATGCTAGAATTTCTTCTGCTCTGTCAGACAGCATTAGAATGAACTATCCACACCCAATCAACACTCACAGAAGTATGGCATTTAAGAAAAAGAATGTGAAATTAATCATTCCAAAATAAGAAGGGTGTTCTCTTATTTATATTCCATATCTTCAATTACACATTTTATTGCATTCACTAGTATGAATCAAAATCCCAAGTAGCTGTAGGTGTAAAGAGGATCTACTATATAGTCATCTGTGATAGTTAGGGCTGAGTGATCAGATCTCAGCTGAAAAAAGCAGACAACCACTAGATGACAGTTACGAGATACAATACAGCCACTCCTCAGTTAGTGGTTACTTCATTTAGTGACCATTCACAAATATGACAGTAGTAATAATAATAATAGTAATAATAATAATTTTAAAAACTGTTTTCCAACCAATGTGTGCACTTATAACCAAATTTCATGTGCCTGACAACAATGCAGGCCTGAGTAAGAGTAACGCTGGCATTACTAAACAAGATAACTTTATCTAAATGAGACAGCAGTGATCTTTGTAGCATCTCTCTCCCTCTGTCATATGTTCATGTAGCAACCATTTCCCTTAGCGATGTCGGAAGGAACAGATTGTGGTCACTAAATGAGGAAAGGGTGTACAATTTTTTGTTACTATTTACCAAGCATCTGAATTTTTGCAGCCCAAATCTGGTAGCCCTTGGCTACATATGTACACAACTGCTCTGGCAATTGGCCCTTTCCAACTTTGGCAAGTGCCTAGGAAATCACAGGTAAAGAAATTCTCTCTATTGCTGATTACCCATCTCATGGAGGACTGCATTTTCAGCTTAAAAATAACTCTGGTGAAACACACCATGCTAGAAAACTCAAGTAGTATATTACTGTGATTTTAGGCATATTGATATGGTATTAAGTTTCCCCCCAACTGTTTACAACTATTTAAATCAGGAGTGCATCACTTTTATGTGGCACTGTGACATCACTGGAAAGGCGGGGTGAACTTATTTGGCCTTTTTTCTACCTTGTGTATAGAATAGTGTGGTTTAATATGCACAGTAGGCGTACTAAGCCATTTTGAAGTATCATGTATTCACATTTGTCCTCCTTTGGGGCAAAAATGCAGGAACACCACCACCTCCAGTCTATTAAACTGATGCAGTGGTGATGGTGGGGGCTGTTCTGAAACTAGCAAAAAGAAACAAATTTTGCCTATGGGATTTTCTGATATTGAAAAAAATGCTTCTGAAAAATGGAAGTCCTATGGCACAGTAGAATGTTGAGTCTTCTTGAAAAACTTATACTTCCTGTCTTCATTTTGGAAGGACAAGGGAAGAGACACAGAATTAACTTATTAATAGCTCCCTAAAATATGTTTCCTGAATTGTTTGTACTGGAGCTGGGGGAAGAGGCAGGTCACCAAGAAAGAGTACATTCAAATAGCCAGCGTTTGTAGGGAATGAGACAGAAAAGCTAAACTTTAAAAAGGACATTTGAAGGTGAATATGTGATATATCTATCAATGCGAGAGCAGCTTCAGAGTATATCTAAGTCACATTAATATTTATTTACTTACTTACTTACTTATAGGACTTATATGGCTGTCTTTACTTACTTACTTACTTACTTATAGGACTTATATGGCTGTCTATCTCTTACAATGATTCTAGGTGGCTCACAACAAATATACCCTTCCCCCCAGGTGCCAGAACAAACATCCTTACAGTTCAAGCCCCCATCCTAGCCCAATGCTTGGGGGAAGAGCCAGGTCTTCACAGCCCTCCAGAAGTCTAAAATGGTAGTACATGCACAAGTATGAGATGATCCCAGAATACATAAGATCTCTGTTTGAAGGGACTCTTTCTAAGTTTTGCTGTCTTTCATTTACTTCTTCTAGGTGAGCTTTGTTTACATGATGTACTTCAGTAGATTCTGAATATATTCCTGAAAGAGATATATGGGCAAAACTAAAGGCATTTTCTGGCTTGTGGAACTCCTGTACAAACAACTGAAAATAGAACATATTAGAAATGCCAGTGTTTTAAATGCAAATGTGTACATGCATCTTTCTGATAAACATTATAATTATTGTTGAATATTCCTGCTCTTTAAAGCACAAGAATAAGGAATAACTGGCCTGTAAAATCCAATAAAGAACATCTACTGCCGCAATGACATCAGGGAAATGTCTTTATGTTGCTCAAACTGCTCAGCTCTCACGAACAAAAACCAGTGTTTCCATCTTGATTTTTTTCAGCCTTGATGCTTATGGTAGTACAAGTGAATGTTTCTCACACAAGACGAAGTCTTAGTGGCAATTGCATTACGAAATCCCCAACTGGAAATCCTTACCAACAACCTTTATTATTAAGCTTTGATGACACAGCACAAATTTGGATTATACACCGTACACTTATGTTCAGAACAACACCTGCCAAATGGATTTCTCTTTAACATAGCATTCCAGCTTTAGTCTGGTTCTTTCTTTGCACCTCAGCCTCTCTTCAACATAAGCCTGACATTTCTTTAGTTTGTACTCTGTGTTTAACAAAGTCATCCAACTACGAAATGCATAAAAACCCAATTAGTCTCTAAAATATCAAAGCTTGTCTTTTAATTATATTGTTTTTCTTTTTTTGCTAGCTGCTAAGCTCCATCTGTTGGCCAAAAACCCAGGGTATAAATAGAAGAAATCAAGCTGCTTTTCCTTTAGAAAAGGGTTTGAAATAAGCAGAGGTCAGGAAGCAGATCTCAGGAAGAAACTGATTAACATACATTTTTGTAAAAGAAAAAAAGCAAAGCAAAGCAAAAAACAAAATAGTTGAACAGAAACTAATGAATCCATAATTAGGATCTGCATCTGTGAGGATTACCTTTAAACGTTTCTAGAGTTTTTAGCCAAGGAGGCAGCATTATTGATTTTCCCACCAGGGCAAAACAATACTTCTAAGCTGCTGTAGTTGGCAATCTTTCCATTTTTTTCAGCTATAAAAGTTGCAAATCATAGTAACAAAAAAGAGGGTGAGATAAATTATTCCATAGACTGCCTACTTGATGACAATCTTCCTTCTTCAAAGGGATAACAAAATCTTATGGCATTTTAAAGCAGGAGTAGATAGTTTTTGGAGACTGCTGGAACATCTGGAGTTAGCACACTGTGTGCTTTCTCAAAGAATGGCAACTATGGGAACTTGTACATATCCAAAATGGTTATGATGGCTGCAGCCAATCACAAAACATACATTTATTTACCAGAAAGAAAACTGGAATTTTCAGGAAATTAGTAAAAACAGAGAGAGAGCTAAAAAGAGGCTGCTAGGAAAGTTCAGCAAAGGAAGGTCTTATCAAATATTACCTCTAAGTAAAAAGTGCATAATTTGCTAACCTGAGAGCCTGAGAAGAGGACAAGAATAAAAGCTTTTCCACTGGCAATACTTTAAGAACAGGACATGACTCTGTAGTCTTGACCTGCTGCAATGCCACATTTGTATTCTTGCCTGAAAACAACCTGGCTTGCTTGCAAGTACTGCAAGCTTGTAAAGGTGTTTAAAGAAAAACTCAGAGGACTGAACTAGCAAAGGGCCACATTTCAGCTCCTAAGAAAGATCTATTTATCAAACAAGCAAGGCACTACAGCAGGAGCAGCATAAGAAACAATTTTCTATAAGAAAAAGAATCAAACAAGGGAGCAGTGGATGAAAATGCTAAACACAACCAAAAGACATAGAAGATACTCTACACTACTGGAACTCAGAAACAGCTTTGAGACCCTCACAGAAAAAAATTAGCTGTGATCCTTCAAGGGAAATAAAAAAGACAATGCAGAGCAGGATACAGAACAGTGGATCCCTGAAGGGTAGAGCAGCTGCAGCTGCTGAGTCACTACTACAGAAACAAGTGTGCACTGACTTGACTCATTGTTTTGTGAAGTGGGGGCTCCCTGGGAGGCCCAGGTGCTTCATAGCTGCAGAGTGTTGTGAGAACAGCTGGTGGGGCCTTAGGACCATAGGGGGATCAGGCAGATGCAACGGGAGTGGTGGTGAAAGATGGATGGTTATTGTTTATTTTTCTGTGGTTGTTTGGTGTGGGTAGGTGTGCCCATTGGGGTTTTGCATCAGCCGAAACCCCGGGGGAGGTGGGGGGCTATCATCATCTGTGAGTTGTCGAGGGCTCTTAGAGATTCTGCTCCACAGATAACTGGATGTGTGACCCACTGGCTTAAGTTGGGCCTTCAGGAACAGTTGGGATTGCTGCTGGTGTACCGCCTTCTCTACGATCCAGCATCATTCCTGCTCGAGCGGCTGGATTCTGTCTGGGATGGCTCAGGAGTTCAGGTCCCTATGGTAACCATGGACCTGTCCCAAATAATAGAGGGCTCAATGCATAGTGGGGGACCATGCTAGATCTGTTTTTTGTCTCAGGGCAGTTGCAGTGTGAACTGGCATTGGAGGATATTATCATCAGTCTGTTGCCATGGACAGATCACTCTTTGGTTGCCCTCTGGCTTACAGGAGCAACCTTTCCCCTCCTGTGGGGAGACATGGCTTATTAGATTGGCCTGCCACAAATGACTGATGTACCCTGTTGGGTTCCAGAGGAAATTTGGTTTTCTTCCTGAAAATTTGCTCAGCAATTTGGCCAAGGCCTTGGTAACAGTCTGGAACAGGCCAGTGACTGAGGCCCTTGACTGGATTGTGCCTATGCAGTCTGATCCTGGGGTGCATCTTGGTTTTCTGAGGAGCTCTGGGAGATGAAGCACAAAAAGTGACACCTGGAGTGCCACTGAAGAAAGACAAAGGGTTAACTTGACTGAACATGAGTGAGAGCCCATATCTAGGCCTACACAGTGGTGATAACAGCGGTGAAACATTGTTATTTCTCTGCCCTTACTGCATCCACCAATAGCGATCCAGAGGCCTATTTCAAGTGATTCACTCCCTGTTAGGGAGAGTTGGGTCACAGGATCATCTACATGGGTATGGTGAATAGTTTTCATGCTATTTAGTGGATAAAATTGCTTGGATTTGCTCTGAGTTGGACTCTGACTGGGCAGGTCTAAACGAGTTGCCTGGGGTACAATCTCGTGAGATCTGGAGTGAGTTTGATTTTGTGATTCCTAAGGATGTGGGCAAGGTCCTCCAGTCCAGCCACCAGTCTATTAGATCCAGCCCCTCCTGGGTTGGTAAGGCGGCCTAGGAGGTGACCAAGGGATGAGTCCATAAGATGGTATTCTTTGAAGGAAGGTGGTGGTACTGCTGGCCTTGAAGGAGGCAGTGGTGTGGCTCTCCTCAAAAGGCCATCCATTTTCTGTTGCATGCCAGAAGCATGGGTCTCTGACAGCAGGCCAGTCTTTAAAAGAGTCTCTCCAGAGAATTTATCAGCTGGACACATTTGTAATGGAAAATAAGCTGTCACTCAGTCACAGCCTAACCATTGAAGGATGTAAAATCAACATCAACACCATAAACTGCAACCAGCACAGATCCTTCAGAATAGGCTTTATATAATTCCTATACTTTGCATTGGCTACAACTGGCACCAATTGCAACTTCTGAATACTTGTTATAGGTAGTCCCAGATAGCACTCATTTCAATAGTCAATTCAGGATGTGACCAAAGCATAGACAACATCACCAAATCTAACCTGCTCAAAAACTATCCCTACAATGCATCTCTAAACATCAGGCCACAATCAGCATTTGAGATTCCTGCACCCTATCCTCTTCAGGTAACCTAGAAAAACATCCAAAAACAAAAGTATGGTACCCAATTTCCATTTTCTAGCTAACATTACTTCCTCTAAAACAAACAAACAAACAAACAACAGATGGTGCTTTGATCTGCTGAGCCAGGATAAAACTGTCACACCTGATGCTTTGGTTAAGGTGAGCAAGGGATGTCATAGAATCAAGAGACATCAAGATGTGGTTGCTAGAAGTGGGGGGTGTTGGATGAAGAAGACAAACATAAAGCAGATTGAAGGAAATTATCACTGTACTCCAAAACTCACCCCCACACATCACAAACAATGTAAGAAAAAAACTGCTTTTTACCTGCTTGTGAGCATGGTCATAGGAATTTATGTGGTTGTCAAACTCCTGGTGTTTCTGATACTGCTTGTCACAGAGCTCACAGTAAAAATTAGCTCGAAGGTCTTCCAGTGCCTTGGCAATTGCCTTTTCTTTGTCCACATAATCCTGCAATAGCAAAAGGAGATAAGCCTTAAACCTTCAGAAGAAACTAGCATGAAACAAAAATGGCCAGGGAAGGTTTTCATTAAAAAAATTTAGCCTCTTGGTACAGGGTCTCAGGCTGCACACAGCCCCTGCACGGTGCCTCTAGAATAATTTTTACCATGCTTTCAAATTTCAGTGGTGCAACTGCAAAAAATTGATGAAACAGCTTCCCATTGTTTCAAGAAAGAATTCACAAAAAAGCTGTTTTGTAGGCCTTAAGAGGTATGGTGTGACTTCTTACTTTGCATCATTGAGCCCACCCACTACAGACTACTACTCACCCAAAAACATTAAATGTAAATCCCAGTTACTGTCTACTTAGCTCACTGCTGAGATAACAAACGTTTTAAACACTGTTAAAAATTATTTGATACTAGTTCAGGGTACTTACAACCTATATTAGATCATCAACAAAGAAAGCATTTTGGAGAGAGGAAAATATAGTAGATTGATGTTAGCAGTGAGACTTGCACAGATGGTGGAGAAGAAAGTAACTGGATAAGGTGCTTAGAGGATTCAAAGGAATGTCACTTGGGTTTGGCTAGAGAGTACAAAAAATGTTCCAAGGGAAGGTGTATACAAACCAGGAGTGGGTTCATTTCAACACAATATGATCTCCTACTTTCTCTCCCTTTTGGTTCCTACATAAGAGAACTTTATTTGTAATCTCCAGAAATCATATTGCCAAAATTTGGCAGCAAACTACCAAAGGTAAAATTTCAAACTATTTGGGAAGGAAAACATTAACAACAAAACATGTAAATGTTTTCTATTAGGCTTTAACACCCCTAAAGCTCAAGAACCATGGCAACCCCTGCAAGAAATTACACTCCACCCATTTTGATAATGTCACATGTCATTAACCAAACATAAAATTAAAACAACACATCCTATGTTCTGCAAGTTTGCTTGTTCCTACGACTAGATGGTCCAAACATCTCATTAGATCATAGGATCTCTCTTAGGCATCCCTGTTTTATAAAATCTGTATCTTAATATTATTAAATGATTCTATACTGATATGCTTTAGGTGAGGATAGACTACTATGCAATGGAAAATTGTCTCTGATTCTTTAACTGGGTCAGCAGAAAGTACCTTGTATTTTTGCCTCAGTTCTTCAGTATCTTCCTTCTCCACTTCCAAGACCCGCCTCCTTTCTGTGGCATCTTCAGCATAATCAAGCTACCAACCAAAGCAGAGACAAATCAGGTAGTCGTACACAGTGGGTATTAAAGTTCAGCGAGCAAGAAATATTTATAAATAGTAACACATTTTATTCTCTCAAACGTGGTCCAACTCGTCTGCAAACTGGAAACAAAATGCACAATAATATACTAATCTACTAATGCTAAAAACCTCTAATGGAAGCATTTTATTTCAAGAAAATTTTATGCATTTTGGAGCCCAAAAAGAGGAGGGGCTTTTTTGTAGTAGAAATCTAACTTCCCCCAAAAGAAAAATTATGCAAAGTACATGCCAACTTACTGCCAACTAGAAATATGAAGTAGTCTCATTTCATTTTCCTATGCCTGTTGCATTAAAACTTTCAACTGCAGAATGAGACTAGGAGCTTCTGGAGGAAAAGTACGTACTCTACCACTGGATAATTCACCAGCAGATAGCAATTAATGGTTTGCTGTTGCTGAATACTGAAATTCCATTTGATAGAAAAAAATCTAACTTCCACTGACTTAAGAAAATTGGGATGAGGCACAGGAAGCCTTCTACTAATGAAAATGAGCAATGTCTACCTCAGAAACATTTGATACAATAACAGAAAGTTCAATGGTACGTAAGTGTCGTTGATATGCCCCAAATAGATATTAAATGGGAAATAATTTTGAAATTAAAGAACCTTCTCCTAAAGACCTGGGACTTGAACATACATCAGTTTTTGAAGTGGTATAGGAAATTTCCCTCTTGTTAATTTCAAATGAGGAAAATTCAAACCAAAAATAAACCCCAGCCCGGCAGACCTGCCATAAAACACCTACATTTTCTACTCATGCATGTGTGTGTGTATTCTTATTGCATTTATATCCCACTTTTCCTCTGGATATTAAAGGCAGTGCACATAAAATCTCCCTTCATTTTACCATCTCATAGCAACCTTGTATGATAGGTTTGCCTGAGGGATAAAGGTTTACCTAGGGTCACCAATAAAATTTGTGATAACTTAATCTGGTTCTGCCTGGTCCCAAACCTACAACCTAACCACATCATACACATAAATTAATCCCACATAAATGTATAATTGGATGAAAAAAAATCCTTTCTCTCACATTCAAACACATTTTCAAGGTTTGTGCAACAGAGAAGAAAGCGCCTCCACTCATTCCATGAGCAGAATGCAAAATCACCATTGGATTCTGCCCATCTTTTTTTTCTTGAGTTTACCAGCAATTTCAATAAGCTTATGTTTTGAGAAAACATCCCTGCTCTCTCTAAACAGGTTGTGATTTGATAAGCTTTTCATATCCTCCTCAATCATTTCTCTGAATTTTTTTTAAAAATAGGACCGTGCAAATTATTCAGAGAGGTGTAGTGTCAAAGTTCCATGTCCTCTCAAAGACTTTCTGTAGCCATTTCAAAACATCCCCATGCCATCTAGCTTAGCATGGGGTTTTTTGGGGGGGGGGTGCTTCTTGCACATGCACAGACATGTTGAGATAACATGAAGAAGTCTTGCACAAGTGATATTAACCCTTAGAGAGAGCACACTGTTTTGAGCAGTGGTTCAGAGGCCCTTCAGCTGCTTCATGAAATGCTCCTCCAAATGTTTTGCACAGCACTATTAAAAAGCCCCACCATTGTCTATGGATACAGGCGCTCCAATTTTCAGATATGTTACACAGTAATTTAGTAGGTTCTTTAAAATGCGCATCCATTACAGACTCTGCCACATTTCTGATGGATAGCTAAAGGCAGAGATTCTTTGTGTGGGAACCAGAAGCACTCTTTTCTGACCTTTATGCTAGGATATCTAGTTCCCTATCTGAAGAACAGATACTACCGTTCCAGTGTGCCTAATAAGTAAAACCTGCTGCATTCTTCAGGCATTAAATTACATATATTACTTCTGAGTGTGTCTTGATATGGAAGTCTGCTCACAGCACTGAGCTGAGCAAACCTTTTCACAACAAAAAATAATTTTGGTACACAGGAGCTGCACAGGCCCAACCAATTTTTAAATGTGCAATTAAAGCTTTAATTGGAAAATCAGATTTGTTAATTGAAGCCTATTGTACATTTATATTATACTAAAGCACTATCATTTCCTTGACTAAAAGATCCTTCCCCACTGATGCCCTCTATGTGTGTTGGATTATAACACTCATAATTCCTGGGGCTGGATGATGAAAACTGTAGTCCAAAAGGACACGAGTTTGGAAAATGTTATGGTAAAATGTATTATAGTCTTAAAACATACGCACAGACACTTAATCTTGCCTGGTACAAAGTGTATGTTGCAGGGCCACTTACCTCCATTTCCATCCGCCCCATGCCCATGACATCATATTTGACAACGATAGGGATGGGATCTGTTCTACCTGGAAGGGAATGAGACCTATCAGTTGAGTGAGTAGGACAGAATGATCATCCTTTGGTAAGTCGCTTTGTACACATTGGTTTGGGGTTGGTTAGAGATCTTGCCTTTGGAGTGCAGAGACCAGAAAGCTACAGAGAACCAAACACAAGCCATTCTCACAGCTTACAATCATAAGCCTGCACAACTTGGTTGCCAGACCTGGCCTTGTTTTTGTTTTTGCTGCCTCCAGCTTTTGGCCCAAATATTTGAGCAACTTAATACTAAAATTAATGATCCTTATACTAGAAAATAAAAGAATTTGAGGAACGGGAAAGAAGCACTCTCTCAGATCACAGGACACAGATTCAGGAGGCAAACAGAATGCTGGGTGTTTTTGAACCATTCTGAAATAACATTTAATAAAATGCAAGCACCAATGTCCAGCAACACCCATTTAGTATGCAATTATTTCAGAAGTTTGAAAGATTAGTATGAAGACTTTGTTAGGCCCAAAATGGGCTTTTTGGATTCTGCCATATTCTTTCCTTGTAAGCTGTGAAAAGGACTAGTTGCGAAGAAAACTGACTTTGAACTAATCAAACTATGCTGAAGATTTCATATGTATTTTTAATTCACTCATAACCAGCCAAACAAAGCAAAATGGGGCAGACGAGCACTTCGACTATCACAGCCTTTGGGGGTGTTTATTTTTACATCACAACATGCGCTGTGAGTTGTGATGTAAGGGCACTGGTAAAAAGGAGTTACTTACCTTATCTGGTACATACCTTGAGTGAAAAAACAGAATGTTTACTTCCCTTATTAGCAAACTTGGGGGGATTGGTGTTAACAATATTCCTCTCATTCAAAAACACATAGATTATACCCTTGGGCCAAAAGATGTCCAAGCTTGAATCGTGCTGAAATAAGGAAACTGGACTGCTAGTATCAGTTCATGTGGCATAACAGTATTTTTGCATCTCCAAAAAAATTGCTATTTTTTAAAAAAACTTTTGAGAGGTAGAGTGGCCCAAATGACAGCACTGTACTTGGGAAATCTGAGTTCATGTCTCACCTCTGTCAGATGATTTATTAGCTTTGTCTCCATTGCTTAGCTATAAAACAGGAATTGTAATTCCTCACAAAATTTATCATGAGGGTTAAAAAAGGTTTTGCCCTTGATGTGCCATTAAAATAGAAGCAAACCAATCCCCAACATAAATTTAATTTGGGAATACATTTCAACATTTTCCAGATTGAACAACTCTTTTCTAGAGAGATATTTCTGCTTGTATCTCGAATTTAGAAACCTGGAGTAGGGTGAATCAAATTTGGAAACACTGATCATCTGTGAAAAAGCATTTTGAAATACAATTTTTATTTATATATACACATTTTCAGTAACAAGGGTAGGGGAGGAAGGGGATTTATGCCCAATTGTATATGAAGCAATGACTGCAGTTGTGAGCAAAAGAACCAAATTCATAATAGTTTATTTTAAATGATATATTCCCCCCCTAATTTTTGTTACATTTCTATAGGAGTGGCATTTGTTCTGTCCAAATGAATATGACAGACTCCTTCATAATATGAAGAATATATTAGTTCTTTTGCTTCCTAAGGCAGTCAATGTTTTCAGTTTTCAATTATCTATTGAATTGTCCTAGCAACTGCTAACACTTAGTATGTGCTTGGGAAAGGCAGGGGGGAGATCAAGTTTGGACAGTATTAGAGATTTGGTATTTGAAGTGAATCTCCACAAATTTTTGGCAGTTCTAACACAAACATCCCTTCTGAGCATTAAACCCTTAATGAACAAGGATCAGACACAAAAGAGTGCATGAAGAAATGGAAAGGAAAAAAAGGGAAACAAAAAGACCAAGCAGAAAAGATGAAGGCTACAACAGAGAAAAGTAAGCCTAACATATTTGGTGCTCTGATGACAAAAAAGAAGTAAATTCAGTCTGAAAATTAAAAATTACCACTAAGTTTACCATCACCACAACAAGTCCCGGATCATTATGCTGTAAAAAAGAAACACCATTTGTTAGGCAGAAACTGTCAGGGGCAGAAAATAGGCCCTATGCAGTAGGCAGGCGAGGGGGAGGGTATAGGGAAGGGGGAGAAATCAGAATGACACTAGGACTTCCACCCATCCCACGCCACCCTTCTTCTGGAAACAGTGCAAGTGCAGTAACACTGGTTTATTTTCAAGATGCATTCAGCATATAACTGATACTGAAAATTAATACTTAGAGTCTTAATAAACATAGCACTCACAATTTTTCATATTAAATTTGTTGGGAGGGAGGAGTGGCTGTTTTGCAGTGTAACAAGTAGTAAGAAACAGACTTTTTTGGAGTGTTTCCCAAACTTCTGATAATCTCATCCACATAGTAAACCACATTCAACTGTTCAAAGCAACCACTGGACCACATTCAATGGTTTAAAGGAAAATTAAGGCTCTTCTGCATAGAAAACTAGAAGGTTAATGAAAAAATGACAACAGAACTTTACCCCCAACTGCTAGTTTTCTATAGTGCTTTTTTGTTTCTGCACATTGGGAAACAGATGAACCTTCACCTAAAGTAGTAGTAATTCAGCTCTAAAGTACATTCACTACTTCAAGAAGTTGGCCAAAGGGTCCAATGATATGTGTAAAATTCAAACTTCTAATGTTTTGCATGTGTGCATTTCAAAGCAGCCAAGGAGTAAGTAGTTGAATATTAGGCACGTGGTACGGAAGAAGGGAGTGAACATTCCCACCCCTCTTGCCAACATCCCTTCTCCAGCTGGGCCAAATATAATGGGGTGAGCAGATGTTTATTAAATGCAGAAAACAGCTCATGGCAAAAGTGTTAAATGACTTTTCTAATGGGATTTATTACTATAATTCTAATTAACTGCCTTTGGAAAAATAACATAAGTTCCTGATATTGAATATTACAAAGACGTTTTAAGTGAATATAAACAGAACTTCAACATCACATTCATTTTGGTCTGTGCATACCCATTATCCTATTCTCTAATTAGCAGTATTTCCCTTTCCTATTCAAAATATAAAATACTAGTGTCATGGCTATAGGCTCTACAAATCTGTTTTGAAATAAATTATACTAATATTATTTATTTGTATCAAAATGTATGTGCCACTTTTGGCCAAAAGCCTCAGAAGTTTCACTGCAGTAATAGAATGTAAAAAAATTATTTAAGGCACAATAGAGAATAAAATGGGCAGCAATAAAAACAAGACAGAAGTGACATTGAACAACAACAACCCAAGCAAGGGAATACATTTCTGTTATATTTTTAGCAGGGAATAAAGATCTAGATAGGTTTCAGAGCTATTTACCACGACCAAGGCAGCTTTGTCCAGTATATATACCAATTTAGCTTTACTTTAGAACTTAATTTATCTTATCCCAGTTGATGGGAAAACCTATTTGGGGTATTTTTACATGAAACCATTTAAGGCCTTGAAGGAAATAATCAATCCTTTGAACTAGGCTCTGAAACAAAATGGAAACAAATGCAGAATTGAGCAGTATCTGATCAGTATCTCAAATACTGTGCTAATACCATTACCATGGGAGCAGTATTTTGTTCCAGCAGTAGATCCAGACACTTTTCAAAGACAGTGTTATGCAGAAATTATAATATGCTAAGCTGGGTGTGAACAAATCACATGCAACAGTGGCCAGATCTTCCTTCTCTGTCAAGGGTGAGAACCCACTAACCTAAGCTGTGTAATTGTTATAACTGCAATTTTACCATCCAAGTAAGAAAGCTAGGTCCAGAAACATTTTGAAAAGAGTGCTATCATGTCTTTAAAAAAGCTGAAAACCAATTCCCAGATTATTAATTAAAGCTATTTCTATCTTATTTTCACTAAGTTTTGTCTTTCTTTGCTCCAAGGCTCAAACTTTCTACTACCTCTTTTTATGTAACTGAGTTTTGTTTCCTTTACACTCAAACCAATGATTCTGCACTTTAAGCTTTTGGATAACTTTTCCCACTGACTTCATACAGATATGAAAATAGGATAAGATATGAATTCTCTATGGCCGGTACAGGAACAGGAGTCCAGGAATTTCACTTCCTGAAACCTGTCCTCAAGTAAGGCCTCATGCCCACCCTGATCCCCAAATCCAAGCTTAGCCAGGCAGTCCAAAGAATAGGATGACTGATGGTACCAAAAGCTACCAGAAAGTCTAGCAGAACAGGGATACAGTCCTTTTTTTCAGTTTCCACTCCAGCATAAGTTGTCCATCAAACTAAACTAGAAATCAGACAAAACTAAGTCTAATATCATTTAAGAGTTAGATTATCAATTCACAATCCAATTTTTTTCATATGGTTTTCTGACTATTGAATATAATATCAGGGGAGATGGACTCATGAGATAATCAAGATTTTTCTGAGAGCTGTTAACTGAAGAACAGCCTTAAGAAAGAAGCAAGCCTCACATATGGAAGGACATTTGATGCTACAGTAAGTCTATTTTAAAGCAAGATCTTAGAGGGATTCTGCAGATTTATTTCACTGATGCCTATTAATCTTTAAGCTCTGTGCAGTGCTCATTAATGAAGGCCCCTGAGCAATTTACAAAAGCAATTTTTATCTGTAAAAACTTAAATAAATATAATGAACTATTTAAAAAATGAAGAAGTGTATCAATAGAATAAGAAGCATAAAATGAATTTTAAACCCAGCTTTAAAACAGCATATGGAAAGTAACTAGTACCAAAACTTGAAACTGCTCTGTAAACCAAATAGAAAGGCTAACAGTTCTGTAAATTATGTGCGCCAATTTAAGGGTTAGGGGAAAAAAACAAAGTACTTCCTCTCTATAAAGAACTCTTGAGAAAAATACCTCTCTAGGAATCCTTCACAATGACATATTAAATTGCCACAATGGAGTGAAGGAGAAAAGGAAAATTATCCTCTTTAATGTTCATCTTTGCTGCAGGTCATGTCACTGGTTTAAAGTAAGGAAATGAATAGTGTGCTTGGGGTATGTGGGATAAAGAAAGGGGGGACAACACTACTCTGTGGGTGTTTTTAAAAGAAAAAACTCAATCCAGAAACAAACTGCAAGATTTGCAAAGCTCACATTTCATTTTAATGTGGACTTTTCCATTTCAATTTTTCCACGAGAGATTATTTAACAAGCAAGCTTTAAAGTATCAGACTATCATGTTAACTGACCTGGTTATCTGAATTCACATGCAGAATGTACATCATATTTACTACTTTTTCCCCAGTCAAGACTAAGGCAGGAACTTTTAATTACATACGTAACATATAGAGTGAAAGGTTACCAGACTATTGTTTTAAGAAGCTACATTGCAATCCAAAGGACTAGTTGCATAATCCCCAGTTATATGGAACTGGGGGCAGAAAAGTAAGGAAAGACATCTACAGAACATTCTAATTCCCACATATTCCTAAGATATAACATGAAACATTCCAGTTCTGAAATCCAACAATAATACTACTGAAATCTCTCAGCAAAATACTTACTAATCTTAATCTTCCATGATAATGTGAAAAGTGATTTGGCCAAATTAAAAACTACCTAGACACTACAGATCCTCAGGGCTTGTACATATGCATTTCCACATATGTTATAATGTGTTCTAAAACAATGTGTCCTCGTGTCTATTTTTAAAAAGGAAAATTATGCCTTTATCTTAAGAAGGTAAATATGACAACATCTGGCGAATTCTGAAATATCAAAAGGAGACAAGAAATGAACAGATGGTATTTCCATTCCTTTTGCTATCTTACATTTGCTCAATGCTGCTTCTAAGGAGCTCATACATGGAGGTGTTAGGCAATCCTTCTTTCTTCTAGAAAGCCTTAGAGATGTTAAATTCAACCTCTCAAAATAATTAAACAATGTTCAAAGGTGACACATAATTTTGTGTTAAGTTACCCACTGATTTTGACAGAAGCAAAGATCAATACAGAAATAGGGGGTAACCAACGTTTAAAACACTTCTCACTGTCTTAACCCAAACTATAATAATTTCACGTAGTGTCTGTTAAATTATTACAGTCTTCCATCTAACTTCCCTACAAAATATTAGCACCAAACTCACCATCTATGTTCTCTTTGCATCTGCAGCTTAGCCTTCAAAATTCTTTCATATATCTTGCTTGTCTGAATTTCTTTGAAACAGCATTCAAGGTACTTGGACATTTTTTTCTGATTATAAAAGTGCCCCTAACAATAAAAGTTTAATTTTCTATTCCCTAAAAGACTACTAACAATCTAGTCTACAATTCTATTTATGCTGTTAGCAAACACTAGCAAAATGGAATACACCATCCATATATAGATGTCTGCAGTGCTAACATTACTGCTAAGCAGTAACAGCCATTGATGATGTCCCTAGGAATATAGCTATCTCACCCTAAAAAATGGTTCGATAGTGAATGAAGCATTTGGTAGAGGTTCTCCATGGGATTGACGAGCCTCCTAAGCCTTTTATGTTCAACAGATTTAACAGGATATAACAAGACATATAATATAAATGATAACACAAAATTTTTAAAAAAATTTATTCAACTTTTCATGGCATGGGATTCACTGAGATTGAATTAATGTGCATGTGACATTAAATATATATAGCTCTAACTATTCAAACAGACAGGCTTATTTTTAATGCTAATCTTGCTAAATTCCCAGGATTTCAAGCTGTGTTGAAAAACTGTTCAACCAGGAACCAGGAAAAGCCCCTTTCAGTACCATCAACACAAGTTTATGAGAACTCTACTATGCAAACCCCAACTTAAAATGCTCATTGGTCTGCAATGTATGTGACTAACAACATATCCATTATCACTGTCTCTTACAAACTGTAAGAGTTACAAAACTCTTACAAGTTGGATTTTTTTCTTACTAAAGAAAATTCTCACGTCATCTATGGCTTCAATCATGCATGTTCTGCCTTACTGAATAGGGCAATTTTAACATAGCAAGAACACCTTTGGCAATAGCCACTTCAAGTGAAGGAAGTGGAGGAACTAAACTAATAATAATCAAAGCAAGATTGAAAATTATAGCGTACAGAAGTTTTTATGATCCAAGAGGCAAACTACTTTCCATTTAAGATGACAAGCAAGGCAGTATTATTTACCTTTCTAAATAAAGATACTCTGCTTTCTCTTCGGACTATATAAAGATATGGTATTTTTACAGATTTATATTTGATAGTATAACAACCCCTGATCCCAAATTTTAGGAGAAGTATCTCTACTACACAACATTCTTTAAAAGACAGAATTCCAGGCTATATTTATATAACACCTGTTTTAAGATTTGCAAATATCTGAAAGATAAGCTAGGAAAACAAAAGGGGGAAGAGAAGTTGAGGCTTTTTGAGTCAGTACTGGCAGGTGCCCTGAGTTTTCACATTTCTTTTACATAAATGGGGATTTAAAGAAGCAGAATGTGCTTGTTGAATGATATACATAAAGGAACTAAGCTTTTTGAACATAAGAAAAGTATTTGGCTATGTACTGACTCTTCAAGAGACACATAACTGTCACACACAAAAATGTTATCAACTTAAAACAACAAATTCTAAAACACCTTTTTAGTAAGATATAATAAAGCAGTGCTAACTATTTTAAGGCAGAATTAAAAAAAATTAAAAATCACACTGAGCAGCAGATAATGCAAACCTCTAAATGACAAACTGCAAGAAAGTCATGGGTTAAAAGTTAAAATCCTCAGGTTTTAAGAATAAAATGTCTTTGGCACAAAAAGTACATGTACACCAGGACTACCACCACAGTGAAGAAATGTTCTACAAAAACCCCAAAATGCAGAGCCTCTCCACCAGCTCCATATAACATTAATGACATAACACAGACCTGGATCCAAGGACAGATGTGGGTTTGCCTCATATTGATCAAACACCAACTAGAAGGTCTGTGGAAATCAGAGGCACTGATTCTTCAGAATATTTTTCCCAATTAGATTTGGGAGCAGGAAATGTTCTTAATCAAGAATAAAGACATAGATGCCAACTTCAAAGACAGCTGCTCAGTCTGACCAAATTACATCTGTTTATATTGTCAAAGGAAAATAAAACAAAAGATCTTGGCCCCAAAATTGAAAAAAAAATGTGTCAACAACTAGTAGCATATGTACCAGCTGGGAGAATGAATTCTCATTCAGTAACTGGATAACACACATCATTCAGTAGCACACATTATAAAGTGGTTTGCTTAGCTTCAGCTTACTATGCTGCATGAACCCAGCTAGTATGTTAATGCAGTGCATGCCAAGTGATAAACTGTTTTACAACTCTTATATACTATATCTCATAAATCACATTGTGAGTTGGCATGAAGTACGAACTCAACTATTAGGTGTACTTTCACATAAACAAGTCATATTGTGGTTTGGCCTAACCACAGCCATTAGCTGTGCTTCATATAATGCTACATCATGATTTAGTGATATTTGAATCTCAGGCTAACATAGGCCTACCTAACCTCCCCCCACAAACTTCCACTGTTCATTAATTACAGTTACATTAATAGTTTAATCAGTTCATCTTAATTTGAGGGAATATGTAAGACCAAGGTTCACCAAGACTATGTCCTATTAAACCTGAAGCCATTTGGTGAGCCTGAGCAAGCCTATTATCTTCTATTGTAAAGCTAACAATCTGGTTCCAGAGTTAGTATAAAAATTGATTAAGGTTATAGTTTTATTGAAAAAGAAACAATATAGATTAAATTCAAGCTTTTGACCAAAACCAGATGTTCTCTTTCCATCATAACTGCGGTTCAAAAAATATAGATGAGACAGCAGATTGTGGGTGGATATTTATTTATTTGTTTGTTTAGTCACTCATCTCCTAACATCTCTTATACATGACTGGGTGGCTCACAATTAAAACAGAATAAAAACGGTAAAAAACAATCAGGGTTAAAAACAACAAAAAGGACATTTAAAAAAGCAGCCAAGAAGACTCACGAACACTCAAACAAGCCATGACATGGGCTCACCCATGCTATCAGGGCCCCAGGCTCGATGGCAAAGCCAGGTTTCTGGTGCCCTGCAAAAGGTCAGCAGGGTCGGGGCAAGTCTAATTTCTGGGGGTATGCGAGAGGACCTGGAGTTTGAGTGGGTCATTCCTATCTAGTAGTCTAAATCTTGAGGTGGATCAACACTATAGCATAAGGATTGTGTTCAGAATTTTTAAGACAACAAGTACTTTCATTAAAGACTGGAAACCTCTTATGGACTTTTTGCTGAAAACAGAAAAAAATGAATTCATGATTTATAGATCTGCTGATTAAAAAGGACTGCTTATGGGAAGAAGGGAAATATGTACTTTTAAAGAGGGAAGTGTGAAGATTTGTTTGCTTGTAACTGCTGTAAAGAAGATTGTGAGTTGCTTCTTTATATATTTTTCTTTTCTTGTTTCTTATTATATTTTCTCTTTTATACTATTTTTTACTTTCTCACTTCACTTTTTTCTTTCTTTTCCTTTATATTCCTTTATGTTTTATATAAGAGAATTTTAAAATAAAAATTATAAATTATAAAAAATCATGTTCAGAAATTTAAATTATCATTGATGCACTGAGTAAAGAACAAAAATAAGGCCAAGTAGGGAGACCCATTACTGCCTCTTTCTGCATAGGAGAGTAAAACAAAGGGAGCATTGCCAATGGGTCCTCCCACAGCACCTCAGAATCAGTAGTAGCAGGCCTTCAACATGCTCTATTGTTTCTGCTACAGAAAGAAATGTGGAGGCAAGTGTTTAACTGGCCCTTGAGCAGGATGCAGATTTTAAATCCAAAGAACATTTTTGTGGGAATGTCCCATCTGTGGGAATAATTCAGGACCTAAATTCAGACAGTGTTTTAAATTCAGTGGTCATCGATACCTTATCTACTGAATCCCCTCCAACATTTTTCTAACAGAGATTTTTAATATCAAGATAATGGCTATTAGTCCTGGTGATTAGGTATTACCACATAAATCAGAGGCAATAAGCCCTTCAATACCAGTTGCAGGAAAATGCAAACAAAAGGATATTACTAAATTGATGTCCTGCTTGTGGGCTTTCCCCACTCTTGTGAGGAGATAAGAATACAGCAAAGAAATTTCTACATCTCCAACCAGAACTTTTTTACTGTCATAAGAGATTGCACATGCTTTGCTACAACTTTATAAATACAAACTCCAACAGAATGAAATACTGTCATATTTTATTAGGTACAGTATCATGAAGATTACATTCCATCACTGAAACAAAAGAGTAAGAAGGATCTATTTTTTAATCTCTGTGTTCGAGGAAATGGACTGCTATCCCTGTCATGTGTGTTTCCTGGCTGCCAAGTTCACATTGCAGTCTAAAAGCTTAAGTAAATTATTGTATAGGCAAGTGTTGCCTTCATAGCTGTGAAGAAATCAGTTCTTGCTGTGCCAGAAAAGGAGACTTTTGTTTCTTAGTTAGGAGTACAATTTAAGTTTAGTTATACAAGAAATGGAAAAAGCCATGCCTTTTTCCCAAACATTTGGGGTGACATGAAAAACATCCTTCCTGCCCCCTTAGTGTAAACAAGAAACATTCAGGATGAATTCTATCCAAGAGGAAAAAGAGGCTGGGATGCATGGATTACCAGCTCGAAATAAAGGTCTCAAATGGCTGAGTCCTTCTATATAGGTTTATCCAGATTTGCTTCAAAAATCTTACAGAAGAACTTGGATGCATCACAGCCTTCTCCATCCCCCAATTACAATTGCAACAATTAAAGTGGGGGAAGGAATTGTAAGCTGCCTAACCAAATCTAGAACACCTTAGATTCTGTGTAGAGCAAAAAGAGATCAGGAACCAGACAGTAGATCCCTGGGATGCTCTTCAAAAGATCACTGAGAATTCTAGATCTTCAATTATTTAAAAAAGCAGTAATTGGGCCCAAATGATGACACTAGATTTGAATGGTACTTGGATAATCTTCTGGTCACCGGATAACAGATCCAACAGGAAAGGGTTTGCTTTTGTTGTGGTGAGAAGGCAGGGGCAAGTAGATATCAATTAGAGGTACAATGTACCTCTGCACCCAGGGCTGCCAATGTCATTAGCCACCTTAAATGGATCATGATTCCAATGGGGAGCTTTAGTCACTCACAGAGCAAGCCAATGCAATACATTCTCTGATCCAGGGGCAAGAATATTTCCTTGACGCCCAATTTTCAGGAGTTAAAACAGGATGTCCAATTGATGGAAATCTAATGTGTACTTTGCATAGGTCTTAAAGGCCTTGGACACATCTTGTTTATGCCATGTACATTCCCTGGGATGAAACAGGCTGGGCAGAAATCCAGTAACACAATTTCTTGCAACCTATGGAATTCAAATGTATGTTGGTTATGAAGCAGAAATTTGTCCTTAAAAATACAGTACCTTACCTTGGGGAAAGAGCTGACATACAAATTATTGAAATGATTGAAACTGCACACAGTTTCTCTAGTTTCCTGTTGAGCCTAGAATTACCAGAAATACCATCCTCCAAGTCAAACTCTTACCTGGTTTGAATGGTGCATGTATTAGTGCTTGGTAGACTAGAATTAGGACCCAAGTTGAAAAACAATACACTGTTCACAGGAAGAGAACATTCCCCTGAGCAAATAGCATAGTTGCTGATTGTTGGAAAGAAACATGCCTGCCCAGCATAGCTACTTATCTCCATAATACATTGGACACCAACTGACTCTCCAGTCCATGCTGAAGGAACCTGAAGAATTCTGAAATATTTGCTGATCCTATTTCTATTTGCTGCCTCCTGCACCATCTGCAGAGAACTTGCCAGTGATCACTATTGTACCTGGGTGCCTCAAGGAATGGAAGGTTTTGACTCCAGTTAATAGGCCACTGCTCAAGAATAGTTTTTGGTCAATGTCACAGCCAGAGCCAGCCTAAGCTTGGATGAGGGATTGGTCCCTGGAATAAGGTGTCCAGGTGCCATATGTGTTCCTTGCTCATGTCCATCAGGTCTCATAAGTATGGCCTCTGTAGCCAGTAAGGAACAATAAAAAGATTAGCCCTTCAAAAATCTTACACTGTGGGATATTCTGGAGAGTACTGGTATGGGATGGGAATAGACAGAGTAGTCCCAGAGACCAGATGGATGAATGTATTTACCACTTGTGCTCTGCTGTCCTGGAAGAAGTGCTGTGGTTATCTATTTTTTGTTTGTTTGCATCTGCAAAAAGATCAACAGCTGGGGTCTGACTCTCCTTGAGACTGGTCATGCTGATTCAGCCAGTACACTGATATTTGCTGATCCTTTTATGTATTCTGCTGCTATGGAAAGAAGTTACCTCTCCACTAAAGTCATCAGAAAGGTGACTTCCTTCTGGCACTTCAAGAATCTGTATCCTCCTTGGTGATTTACAGTGGGGCAAAAAAGTATTTAGTCAGCCACCAATTGTGCAAGTTCTCCCACTTAAAAAGATGAGAG